TCACTGAGTATACTGTATAATGCACAGCAGCATGAACAGAACATGTATTGTTAATTTTATTATGTGACAGTAAAGTGACTTATTTGATATTAGGCACAGAAATTCAGAGAAATATTTGAACATAGTTAATAGACCTGGATGTCAGATGTTTCATTCTTCTACTTTTCTTATCCTTTCAGGTGGAAGAAATCAACCAAATAATGAAAACTCCCAAAAACCTACATATTCAATGTGAACTGGAAGGAACAAAAGACAAAGCGACCAAACAAACACTACATTTACAGGATTGTCTCATCAGCTCTCACCAAACCAAATGACACCAGATAAATTAATATGGAATGTGCCTCAACAACTCCTTTTTCCTGCTTTTGTAAATATGAAACCTTCATGATGAGTTTTCCTAGTGAGACCTGAAGTGCCTGGAGCCAAGTGTGGGCTTATGTTTGCAAATAATCACAGATTGACATTATGGTGCAATACAGTGTGAAGTCTGCGAACTCTGCTTTAGCTACAGTGGCTGTAGAGAATGATGCTTACATTATTTAAAGTAACTGTTTCTGAGGAATACAAGCCAAACATCACTGTGAATGAAAATATGCAAAGAGATTGACGTAACACCAAAGTGTAATGATTTTAAAATACCACATTTTCAGATTTTAACTTTTTCTGAAATGTAAGTTTTCCTTTTGTTTTAATTTCTGCCTTTCTAATGATGATAATTTCCTTAATGCAATGTCAGTACTAAATGTTGAGTTGCAGAGTGTACAGAGTAATAAAACTAAGCACTGGAGTCTAATCCATGCATTCTTAAAAAATCTTCTTTGATATCCCTTTTTAGTTTACATTGAGAAAGCTTGAATAAAAGTGTCGTGTAAGGAAATAAAAATACAAGCGTGCATGTACAAAATGCTGAATATGTAAATGATCCAGGTATTGATATGTCATCTTGCCTTTTGTGCAGCTGCACTATACCTGGCAGATGTTCATACAATTCTCTCAGTGTTTTGAGACCTGGCAACTCTGGTGTACTGTTTTTTTTTTTACTATTTTTGCTCTTTATTCATTTTTGCTCATAGTGAATTAAATGTCTCCCACAGTAAGAGATCACTTAGTGGACATTGTATTCAAGTCCTGCACACTGTGGAGAAGAGTCAAGGTCTTTGTGTTTTTGAGTATTTGAGTTGCATAAGATGTGAAGAACTCTTATGGGAACAAAAAAGTCTGTTTAGATATTGGCTCTCTTCATCTGTGTCTTCCTCTGTAATGTATTCCCTCTCTGAACTGTCTGTGATTCTGCTAACCTCTTAGTGTACAGAATAAAGTTTTACTTACTAATACATGTGGGTTTTCTTTAACTGAAATTGGACTGTATGTTATTTACTTTACATACACACTCTGCCTCACCCTCTCGTTTTCATTTTGTTTGACATGATGCAACACACCCATTAACACATTGTACCACATATGGACATTATGTTGGTCTTTACATTTATTTACAATATAATAGTCTATTTTAAACCATGCTTTGGAACATACCAAATCCTGTTCTCATGTATAAATTATTTTTCATCCTGTACAACCATGCGGGCATCAACACACACACGTACAGCAATCCCCTACTGACGAGAATAATTCATGATGTGTAAAAACATGTATTATTGAGTTACATTTGAACCTCCATCATTTGGCATTAGGATAAACTGATGGCTTGTGACAACAAAGGCTGCTGGAGAAATTCAATACAGCAATCAGCCTGACTACTAATAGTCTGCAAAGTGACCCACGACGTACTACAGAACGTAATACAGGAGGATGATTGATCTATAATAAAAAATGATGTGCTATGCGCATGCTATACAGGATTGATGTATCAATTCGTCTACAGTCTACAGAACAAGGCACATATATTTTTATCATTATAGGATTTCCTGATTTTTCTTTCAATTTTTCGACAGATACTCTCGTTAGGAAACATTGGTGAGAGGGCCCAAAACAGCAATTGCTTCAATCTCAACCAGACCACCCTACAAAGAGAGAAAGAGAGAAAACACAGCTGTGGGTTTGGTTCAATTCACAAGAAGGGAAACCAAATGAAAAGAACTATAAATCTTTAAAAACATAACATACTCTCGGAAGTGCAGCAACCTGGTAGGCAGCTCTGGCTGGGTAGTTACTGCTGAAGACTAGAGAAAGCAGCACAGAAAATGTCAGGAGGTTAAGGGACACATGATTCTTTCATGAACTGCCACATCAGTGTTGTCCACCTCCGATGCAAATGTATAATCATCAGTATAAAATGTTTATTTTTAGCTCTTTCTCTTTCCAACTGATATAAAACAAACCTTTTTGTCAAAGCAGAATGTTTGATTGCCACAGGAGAAAAACTACATTTACTGTGTCAGGTGGGTCTTTATGAGGAAATATCCTGAAAAGTTAATTTGCTCTTGGTCCATACCCAACCCTACCACCAAATTTCAATGAAATCAGTTCAGTAGCTTGTGTGTAATCCTGCTAACAGACAGACAAACAGCACTAAAAACATAATCTCCTTGGTGGAGGTAATTATTCTCGGAAATGTGTGTGGAATCAAATCATAACTAAAACTACACAAGAGTCCAGCACACAGTTTGAATGTGTTGTCACTGCATTTGTTTGAGTGCATCTATTCACAGGGCGTGTACAGTCAACGCATAATGAGAATGTCTCTTCAAGTATTCAGTGAACAGGTGATCAGGGTGTGTGTTCATGAAAGCCAAACAAGATAAATGTCACCTACTCAGGGACAGTAAGGTACACCCACATCTAGTTTATGCAGGTTATCTGGATTAGCCTGACACCCAGTGGCAAAGTCTAGACAGTACAATCTAAGTGATGAAGCGTTACTTGTGGTGGCAGTCATGATCATGGCAAGGTTAAGATGAGGAATAATTATCAAAGTCAAAATGACACGAAAGCAGTGAAAAACTAGCAAAGATAATATGCATAATATGAAATGATTTAGCAACACTTACACTGCTTGTAAACATTGTTGACATTAGTGAAGTCGTTCATGTCAGCGAGGAGCACTGTGGTTTTGACAACTGCAGGAAGCAATGACAAGAAGATTTGATGTTCAGTAGGAGGTGAAAGACTTTTCCTATGAAAGCGATTTTTCACTTGTTTAAAATATAAAACTTGTAAGATGATTAAATTTTTTCTCACCATTTTCATAACCGCAGCCTGCAGCTTTAAGGATTTCACCCATATTTTCAAGAGCCTGGGAGAAAAGTTGTTTTAGTATAGGTGCTTTGTTCCTCAGGCTTTTATTTTGTTGTCCTAATTTATGAAAGAAGTTATATGTTCTGTAAAACAAGGTCTAAATCAATTAACTTTTAATAATAAGTTACATACCAATCAAATTACATACTGTGTGTATTCATATTGTCACACCATTTTAATGGGTGGAGAGAATCATTTGACATACTTGAAGTGACTAAGCAACCCCATTATGATCATCTTTACAGTGGTGAACAACTAAAGTTGAAACATTTTCCTGGCTGGTTTTGTGAAGAGTCACCTGTCTGGTCTGAGCCTGAACACAACCTTCCACCAACTGACAACTGGCAGGATCCATCCCCAGCTGTCCAGAGATGTACACTGTCCGATCTACCACCACTGCTTGGCTGGGACACACACACACACACACACACACACACACACANCACACACACACACACAAACACACAAACACACTGATTATTATCCCCATTAGACTAAAATGCTGCTTTTAAACAGGTGTCACCTCCTCTCGACCTTACAATGATGCCATTGGTAGTGAGCAGACAGTAAATCCAGGAGTGGACACAGTTTGGAATTTACAAAAGTTGAGGAACTGAATTTGGGTGAGAGAAAACAAATATAAAGTTTAACTTTATTTAATAATTATCTTAATTAAACACACATTGCTGACCAGAAGCTGGCTACATGGTCAAGTTTCAAAAAAAGGAGAAAACTGAAAACTATGGTTATAGTCTGCAGTTAATCTTGAAGGCTGAGTGTGTATAATACCTCACCCTTCCCTTCCCAATACCTTCAGTTATCATCGAAACTCAAGGTGTTTAGTTTGTCCATTCTGGGCTACTGTAAAAAACATGGTGGCCTCTGTAGAGAGGACCTGCTCCTGGTGTAAATATAAAGTATTTCAATATAATTTAAAGCCATGCTACAGTGAAGGAAACAACAATTTGTACAATTTAGATAAAACACACTATTGAAAACATCACTAGGATTATTATTATATTCAATTCCTGCCATTGGATCCCTCCCCCCTAAATGTTTCACACTGGACCTCTGACAGTTAAATATTTCAACAGTTACAATCCAGGCTGCACCCTGATCCCGCAGGCTCGTGTCACTGGGTGACCACTGCTCCACCTCCAGCCACATGTCAGCTTCTGAACACTGAATGAAACAATGTAACGCAACTGTGTGATCACACAGAGCAACATGGTTCACCGCTGCCTTTAACGTGCTGCGTTGACTCGGCTGGGTCACACGGCTCCTCTCACCTGTACGGGCCGATAGCAGCCGGAGCTCTGGATGTGCTGATAATCCTCCGGATCAACGCAGCCATGTCTCAGAGGATTGTATCGATCAGACCTGAGGCAGCTGCCGCACCACGGAGCGTGTGACACAGACTGCTCCGCTGGGTGAAGGTCTGAGGAGAGGAGGAGCGGAGAGCAGCACTGGAGTACGTCAGGGCGGAAATCACCGTAAGCAAGGTTGTAGACTCGCAAATTGCTTTTTCGTTCTCTTCATCTTAGCACCAGTACAGGTATACAGAAATGTTTCATACTCAGATTGCACTGAAATATGTGTGTGAACGACAAGATTGCTTTGGAAAATATGTTTAAGTTATTTTCCTTGAGATTATTTATGTCGTTGCGCCGATAAACTATAAATCCCATGAGCATCATATACCCGGAAGCCAACACGCGTCAACCAGCGTGCAGGAAGTTCACATGGTAGCAGTCAGCAGAGAGGAGGCTCGACTTTTGAACATACAGTTCTGTTCGTGAACATAGAGGTGAACATGTAGTTAACGTGACTTTCATTTTTTTCCTGAGCTTTTATTCTTGTGTTGCTCATTAAACTAACGCTTCGCCTCTACGTGGAGGAACGTAAACGTGGCGAGCTAGCTGGCATTAGCAGCAGGCACGGTGGCAGCTCATGCAGCCGCTGACAGAGGCAGCTTTTCATTTGACAGACAACAAGTATGTGTGCTGGCGTCTCAAGCGTGCTCTCCTGTTCTCTGTAGGAAATGTCTGCTGCTAAAGTGAAGATGCGGGCGAGGAAGCTGGAGAACCAGCCCGCCAGTGTTCAGTACCCGTCCTCTCCCCCGGCTGCGGAGAGCAGCCCACAGAACGGAGGAGACGCTCCGGACACTGGTACCTTCTCTTCTTATCGTGTTTCTGTCTGTGTCCTGAGTGCTACTCATCCATCTCTTCACTTGACCCCGTGCTGCTGCACAGTCAGCGTTTCACAGGGTCAGCAAGTGTCACTCTGCATCTGGTCCATCACTGCTGTTTCTCACTGACTTTGAATGTGATTGCATACGATGACATCAGAAGAGTGTTAAATGTTCATCAAGAAGAACAGTACTTATTGGTATTCAGGACACAATCAGCTCCAAGGTTTACGGTCCTTCATCTTATCCAAACCTCCCAGTGGAGGCTGGACTTTTGCACCAGTTACAGGATATTACAAACAGCTTTAATCAAGAGAAGAAGAAAAAGACACTGCAGCCTTACTGGTCTCTTTAGAAACAGAGTTGCCCACACTTCCAGGATTGGTTGCAGTCTTCACCACAGACAATATAATGTTTGAACAATCATTCAAATTCGTTTAAAGTGCTGTACCAGAGGTTGGCGATGCAGTTGGTAATTCCATAAACATACCAAACCAGTCAATGTCGAGTGTAGGCTGACTCAGCCCACGTAGGTGATGATGATAGGATGTATGTCACACTGAATTCTTTAGTCTGCTCCCTAAATTGCTGTGTTAAACCAGCGTGATCAATTGTAATCACTATGGACTTTGGTTCAGAATGTCAGGGGTGAAAATGCCCTCAAAGACAGGGCCATATGAATACACCCTTACCATTTCCACTTTTATTTTTCTATAACATCAAACATTTTTTAAATTATTCAACCACAAAGTAATTGCCATAGAGACAATCACCCCTGAGGGGTGAGCCCCAGGTCAGCAGTCATTTATGCCTGATTCGTAATCTGGCATTTGGACGCATTTTCATTTTTGTCTGTACTGGTGCTTATATGGTAAAGTAATGATCGTCCCAAAGGTGCAACTAGAGGTGATGGTCCATCTGATGTCCAGTCACCCGCGGAGAGGCAGAAGAACCGTCACCACCGGGTTGGGTGGGTCCGTGGACACCAAAAGGATGGAGCAGGCTACGCCAAGGATATGCCCAAATACATCTCTGGTAAAGACATTGTCCGAAGAGGATTGCATAATGCTGTCACCACCCAGTGGTTGTACACTGGCCTGCTGGTTAGATGGTTGAGATCTTTAAATCATAATTTATTTTAGGGCAGGCCACCAAATATGTTCTGCTTAATACTTTTATTTTTCGACTTTCATGTGCTGCAGTTGTTCTGTTCAGCTGAGAATATAAAAAGACACAAAATGGAGGACACAAATCATTAAATTGCTCATGAACTTCTAATGCAATGTCAGATTAATGGTGGGTCAAAATTCATGCTCTACGCTCCCTCTGCAATTCCTACCCAGGTGGTGCTTTTGCGAAGGCCAGGGCAGCAGAGGTGAAAACAATGTTAAAAGCCGTCAGCAAGACAACAGGCAGCTGCCATGTGTTTGGAGCCCTGCCCAAACACATGAGGAGACGGGCCATGGGCCACAACATAAAGCGGCTCCCTCGCAGACTGAGAGATGTGGCCGACAGAATGGTAAGGTCATGTTTATGTGTAGCATCCTAACTTAACGTTCAACGTGTCTTGTTTCATACAGAAAGGCTGTTCTTCTCTGAGAACCTTCATGCTCAGTGACTTTTCTGTTCCCTTCCTCCTGTAGCACAAGAAGAGCCTCCAGGCTGGCTCAAAGAAGAAGAAGGAACAGACAAAGAGCAAGAGCCGCAAGGCCCGCCGCCGGCACGGAAACCTGCTGCTTGAGTTCAACCGGCGTCAGAGGAAGAACAAATGGCTGGAGACGCACATTTGGCACGCCAAGCGCTTCCACATGGTTAAAAAGTGGGGCTACTGCCTCGGGGAAAGACCCACGTACAAATGTTACCGCCCGTGCTACAGAGCCATGAGCACCCACTGTTTGCTGCAGGTGAACACACAGACATTTCTTGCTTCACATATTTAGGATTGCATTGAAGGGAAATTCAATATCTCAAATAAAATGAGCTTAAACCTTCTGGATCTGTCCTCTCAGGACCTTTCATACCACTGCTGCATAGAGCTTCAGGGAGAGGAAGACAAGCTGCTGGCGTGTCTGTCACAACTGACCAGCAAGGAAGCTGGTAAGTATACTAACCCTAATTGCTATCATTCTACTGCCTTTTTTTTAAGGTAGTTCAGCTTCATCAAAACAAGCACTCCTACTTTCTTGCTCAACCAATGACAACATGACATTTTCATCACGTGATGCAGAGTAGCACAAAACCAGCAGTGAAATAGAGTGAGTGAGAGAAAAGGAGAAAAAACATTTGTGTTAAGAACATAAAGGAACCCACCACAAAATGAATCCAGAAGATCCAGGTGATGAGAACCCTACTGTGTTTGTATGAAAAAAAAAAAGGCCCTGTTCAGACCTGGTATTCGTGCATCCATCTAAATGGGTCTCTCTCTCTCTCTGTGCATTGAAAGCAATGTAGCTGTAGCACCACGGTGTGACACCACAAATGTATATAATCACCTTAAACGTCACCAATATAATGCAATATGACAAACCTGTAAAGGTCGAGACAGCATTTATATTGAAATGTGTAAATGTGAGAGAAAATCAGGATCTCAATACTAAGCAAGAAACTGTTGATGGTGGTGTGTGTTTTCAGGACCTACATTTGCCGCAGCACTGTGTATATCAGGGCGAAGACAGGGCAGTGTGGTGGTGTACAGAGCGGGACATTACCCCTCGCAGCCATTGGGCCCTGTTACCTTTCTCTGGAGACCCTGTATACAGGGCTCAACTCACAGACAGCTGTGGATCTGGGCTCATCCTACTATTAAACAGGTATGAAGGCTTTTAAAGGTCTAAGTTGTTGCTGTGACTCATGCATACACTTATATATTATGTAAATTTTGCAGTGAAAGATTGTTTTTTAGTAGATATGAGATAATCAAGGTTCTTGAGTTGACTTGACTCGACTCTACACTCCTTCCAGGACCTTCTCCCTGAATTACAAAGTGTGTGCCAGTGTTGTGAGGCTGTCGTTCCTCCAGTTGTGCCTGTGGTCACACCTGCCGAGGTTGTTCCCACCTTAGAACCAGAGCTTCAATCCGAAAAGACTCCCGAGGCCACACAGACCCTCAGGACCAAGAGAAAGCGGAACTGTAAGGATGCCAGTGAACCTCCTGCCAAAAAGATCCTGGGAGATGGAACTAGATCTCCCACCACCCCAGTGACATGGAGGTCCAGCTCAACTGGAATAGTCATAAAGTCAGTATTATTTACAGGTTTGATTCAGGTACAAACTGAGCGCAACACATGGCTGTGGTGAATAATGATTGTTTTATTTGCAGTGTTTGTATTTCACTTGTTTTTGTTGGATTTGTTGCAGTGATCTCACAATGGAGATTGTACGCTATCGCCTGATTGGACCACAATCCCATTCTGTTCTCGCCCAAACTTTGGAAGCTGCTTCAGGCTGCGATGTAGGGATTTAAGTGTTTTCAGTATGAAAATCAGAGAGCCTCAGATATATTTGCATTTCCCACCAAATAAGTGTGTATTTCTTTATTCTTTTTTAAGGTAATGAATAAATCCCAGCCATCCTCCCTTTGGTGGCCTGAGCACTGCAAAGACGAAAGCAAGATGAATCTGCATCAACAACAAGCTGACATCTATCAAATACTGAAAGGTTCATTATTATTTCCAAATGTGAATTGAAATATTCCTTTTTTATTTCTTTACAATTAATTTTTACCATCTGACATATATGCTTATCTAACAGTGAATGTTTTGATTCACCCAGACATCTATTCAACTGGAGAGCTCCCCTCAGGCACAGTGCTGGGTCTGACTGTAGATGACCCCAGGCTGACACTACCCACAAAGAAGGTTAAAGCTTTGCCCTGTGTAAAGTCGGCACAAGGTAAAATCTGACCAACCAAACAGGCAGAAGTGTGGGCAGTTTCTTTACAGATGATTCAAAGGGCCTTACATTTTCAGAGTATTTCCTAAGACTTGAATCATTCTATGGTAGTTCTATCATACTCTTCCTAACGTGGACTTATATGTCATACAGTGTGCAGATGGGTGTAATATTCACTTTCATACACTTACCATTTAATATCACATGTATTGTTAAGCCAAGAATCCATCTGTTGTATCCCTTCCTGAGGTTGTTTCAGTGAGTGCACGTCTGGTTCTGAGCTCCGGGGGGCCTCTGCCTGGCCATGCAGATGTTCCAGGTTCGAATCCTGGCAGGACCCTGTACTCCAAACACACCCTCAGGGACTGACAGCAGCTGAGGTTTCACCATCACAGCGATCAGGAAAATGATATTTCAGTAATATAGGCAGAATTGTCT